TTTAAGATTAAGAACAAAGATGATTGGAACAAGCTTAGGAAAGTGTGACTCAGTTGCACACCTATATATGTGCCCTGATATTGTTACCTAGTTTAATAATAAAACATCTGCAAGAAAATACCCAGGTTAGAGAACACCAAGGACTCCCACATCCTTCATTCTCTGGCTTACTACTTTTCATATTTTATAGTCGCTAAGCTTTTAACTCCTTCGTTTCTCTCTTCTGCTGACGGGCTTGTCCTATCCACTGTCTCAGCTCATGGCCAAGCTAAGCTCCCTCGATCTTAAAAGCCAGCCAAGTAAATGGCACAGAATGAGCACTTCTCCTCTATCATTCTGGCCAGTCCGAAATATTGGGCCTTCTTTATTCATTTCATCGGCTCTCCAATGCTGGTTTCCTAGCTAGCAATTGGACTCTATGGAAGCTATGCGTCCTCCAATGGACCTGGGAGTCATACCTGATTGTGGTGGTGTCCCAAACAGTGTTGACCAATTAGATCTAATCATCTTTAACAAGACTCAAGAGCAAAGGAGCATTTGGGGTGATTTAAATTCTAATTAGGCTGAGCCACCTGATCACAGCTGATAGGAAAAGAGGTGGGGTCCTAAGGATGCTAAGGGTTGGCACTCATCCCCTTTAAGTGGGCTCACAATCACAGCCTTTTAAAAAAGCTCTTGCAAATAAACAACAGAGATGTCAGCCAGCAAAGCAACATGCAAGCTTTGACATCTAACTCTCAATAGGAAAAGAAATATTAAAACGTAGGAAGGATATTAAGGTATTTGCTGTTCTTATTATTTCCTATAATAAGAAAAAAGGCTGAAAAGTTCTGAGCCTTCTCTATTCCCAAGATAAAGTGTCAGATTCTGAATCGTGTCTCTTCAGATGGCACCTAAGGACTCAAATGCTAAAATAAAATTTTATATACATATATATATATATTTTCTACAAGTGAGAAAACTAAAATTCCAAAGGGGATGAGAACTGCTTGATTTTTTTTTTTCATTTGAAAGCTTAATCTTAGTGAAGAGGAAATTCTACAAGCTTTCTCAACCTTGGTTTTATGATATTGTTAAAATATATCCTTTCATGGCTAATTATTGGCTATGATTACTGGTGATATAGCAATAGAAATAGCACTTAGACTTATATACCACTTCGCAGTGCTTTATAGTACTCTCTAAGCAGTTTACAGAATCACCATATTGCCCTAAACAATCTGGGTTCCCTTCCTATCATTTTAGGAAATTTTAATAAAGCAAACTTAAGGAAAGAGCTTCCAAAATATTTTCAGCATGTCAATTGTCCCACTAGAGGCAAGAATACTTTAGACCAGGGGTGTCCAACCTTGGCAACTTTAAGACTTGTGGACTTCAACTCCCAGAATTCCTCAGCCAGCTTTGCTTTAGACCATTGCTACACAATACTAAAAGATGCTTACCAGTCTTTACCACAAGCAGCTGTGGGGACACTCTGATCACTGCATGATTCACCTTGTACCTGCCTACAGGCAGACTTAAAACCATGAAACCAACAATTAAATCAGTGAGGACTTGGATTGAGGAGGCAAAGCTAAAGCTACAGGCTTGCCTTGATTGTACTGACTAGAATGTTTTCGAAGATACCTCTGCAGACTTAGATGAACTCACAAATACTGTAACATCATATGTCAGCTTCTGTGAAGAGCTATGTGTACTGACCAGGAACCTGCAAATATACAGTAACAATAAACCTTGGTTCACAGCTAAACATAAGCAGCTATGTTGTTAAAGAGGAAGCCTACAGAAAAGGTGATAGAATGCTGTACAATCAGGCCAAAAACATATTAACAAGGGAGATCAGAGGAGCAAAAAGAAGCTATCTGAAAAGTTAAGGAATCAGTTCTCAACAAATGAATGAGCAACCATGTGGGAAACTCTTAAAAACATCACCAGCTACCACAAACCTCCTTCCCACTCAGAAGGAAACCAACAACTAGCAGATGACCTGAATGTGTTTTATTGCAGGTTTGAAAGGAAACTACAGCCACCTATCTCCACAACCCCCATCTAAGACACACCAACAACAGCCAAACCTCCCAACCCTGGTGATCACAGAAAAAGAAGTGCAAGATCTATTTCACAGACAAAAGCCAGGAAAAGCACCAGGCCCAGACAAGACAACTCTTTCTTGTTTAAGTCTATGCTGACTAATTGGCCCCCATCTTCACCTGAATCTCCAATGAATCACTAGAGATGAGCTATGTTACTTCTTGTTTCAAACACTCTACTGTCATCCCAATCCTGAAGAAGCCCTCCATCAAGGAACTGAATGACTACAGACCAGTTGCTCTAACATCTGTAGTTATGAAAAAATTTGAAAGGCTTGTGCTGTCCCACCTGAAAACCATCATGGATCCACTATTAGATACCATGCAGTTTGCATACCAAGCAAATAGATCCATAGATGATGCTGTTAATATGGCTCTGCACTACCTCCTACAACATCTTGAATCTCCAAAGATCTACGCAAGGGTCCTCTTTAGTTCAACATTTAGACTTTAGTTCAGTATTCAATACCATCAGATGTTCTTCGAACTAAACTAAACCAGCTAGCGGTACCTGAACACACTTGTAAGTGGATCATAAGCTTCCTAACAGACAGGAAGCAGCGGGTGAAACTAGGCAGAATCTGATACCTGATACCTTTACAATTAGCACAGCCCCCCACCCGCCTAAGGCTGTGTGCTCTCTCCACTTCTCTTCTCCCTATATACCAATGACTTCATCTCAGATGATCCATCTGTTAAACTACTGAAGTTTGCACATGATACAACAGTGATTGGTCTCATTTGAGATAATGATGAATCCACATACAGACGGGAGGTTGAACAGCTTGCCTTGTGGTATGACCGGAACAATCTGGAACTGAACACACTCAAAATTGTAGAAATGGTGGTAAACTTCAGGAGAAACCCTCCAATACTACCACCTCTTAAAATACTAGACAATACAGTATCAACAGTAGAGACCTTCAAATTTTTAGGTTCTATCATATCTCAAAACCTAAAATGGACACCTAACATCAAAAACATCATCAAAAAAGCACAACTAAGAATGTTCTTTCTGTGCCAACTCAGAAAGCTCAAACTGCCCAAGGAGCTGCTGATACAGTTCTACAAAGGAATTATTGAGTCTGTCATCTGCAGCTCTATAACTGTCTGGTTTGGTTCTGCAGACACAGACTTCAGAAGAAAATTAGGACTGCAGAAAAATTACTACCAACCTGTCTTCCACTGAGGACCTGTATACTGCACGAGTCAAAAACAGGGCTGTGAAAATATTTACAGACCCCTCACATCCTGGACATAAACTGTTTCAGCTCCTACCCTCAAAACGACACTATAGAGCACTGCACACAGAACAACTAGACACAAGAACAGTTTTCCCCCGAAAGCCATCACTCTGCTAAACAAATAATTCCCTCAACACTGTCCAACTATTTACTAAGTCTGCATTATTATTACTATTAATATTCTCATTGTTCCTATCACCCATCCCCTCCCACTTGTGACTGTATGTAACTTTGTTACTTCTATCCTTACGATTTATATTGACTCATTCCTAGTATGATTTGATTGCTTATTTGTACCCTATGACTATCATTAAGTGTTGTACCTGATGATTCTTGATGAATGTATCTTTTCCTTTTATGTATACTGAGAGCATATGCACAAAGACAAATATCTTGTGTGTCTAATCGCAGTTGGCCAATAAAGAATTCATTCATTCATTCATCCATCCATCCATTCATTCATTTATTTTATCAACCATGAAAGGATGGAACGCTGACTCAACCTTGAGCCGGTGATAATCGAACTGTTGACAGATGGCAGAATTAGCCTGCAATACTGCATTTTAACCACTGCCTCACCATGGCTATAAGATACTTTCTCCAAAAAAAATCTGAGGACTCATTTAGAAAAATCTGGTTCAGTCTGGTTTGTGTGAACGGTAAATTGTTATACACATTACAGCTAAGCCAAAAAATTACATTTTTCTTATCTCAGTCTGGGTAAACTGACAGCCTTACTGATTAACTGAGATTAGCCTTTGCCTGTGCAGCCAAATCCGGCTGTTGCACTAGGGATTTGGACCAAACAACACTCAAAACTGAAAAAAATATAAGGTCTTGACTTAGCTCGAGTTTCATTGAAAATACCAGGATTTTAGCAATTAATCAATTATTTGATTTCTATTGATTTCTTTTTAATATATCTTGATGTTCATAGCTGAGGCTTGCGGGTGAAAGTTTCTTCCAATATTTTCTGTGTACAAACTCCTGTTTAGTTCAGTAGGACTTGGGGCAAAAAAAAAAAAAGTATTACATCAGCCTAGTTCTAAGCAGAAGTGTTATCAGTAAGTTTTGGATCACAATGATCCTTAACAAGTTAGACCTTTAAAATAATCTATGCACCATATTAGCAATATTAAAAAGGAGGGGGAAATTAAATAATGTGGGGAAAATCTATCCAAGTCCCTTATACCTTCACCACCCAGTCTCAAGAAAAATGGAAAGTTATTTTCTCTTATATTTCTAGCTTTCTGAATAAAATAGAACTTTTCCTCTCTTTATCAAGAAATGTCAATCCCACTCAAAAGGGATTCTTTTTCCTATCTGCTGCAATCCCTGCCTTTGTCAAGCACTCCAGTTTAATTTCATTTAAATTGTTACTTGGAGCTGACTTCTGAATTTGTGATATCCAGGAATTGGAAAAAAGTCAACCCTGTTTAGATAGGGCAATGCAGTGTTAGAAAACTCCTGTTTTAATGTGATTTTGAACCTGTTAGCAGATGCAATCCTTATGGCAACCCTGAAGCTTCAAAATTATTTTGGTCAGGTCAGCTTCAGGGTTTCATCGAAGAGCTAACACAGTGAATGATTACCGTAAGTGGTTGTTGCCTCATTTAGGTAACACCTTTGGGTAACTCTGATCAGCAGTGTGAAATGAGTTGGTTGGACTTGTCAACAATTCCTTTCACTCTCCTGCCATCTTCTTATAAGCCTTCCTCCGGCTCCTCACCGCCATTTTCTACATCCCTAATCACATGGCCTTCCGGTGCTATCTCCTCAGCACAAGCTCCTGGGCAACTCCCCTGAGGCTCACTGCATATGCGGCGACACCTTTTGTTACAGCAGAACCGTATGTGAAAGTAGCCACAACAGGCTATTATGAAAAGGATGGAGGTGAACGCCATCCCCCATAATGCCATCCGTTTTTCAGCCCTTCCTTTCACGGCACATTCAACCACTTCAGGGCAACTGGCAGCATCTGGAGAGCAGACCCAGGCACGGCCAACCACTCTGGGCATCTGGAGGAGAAGTATAACACACAGAAAGCAAGTCTCACTTGTTAGGAGAAGCGCCACCCAGATGTCAAAGAGAGGGACGCCACAGATGTTTGCGAGGAGCAACTTGGCATGATCCTGTGGGCCAGCTATCGATCGTGTATTAGAGGTGGGCGCAGCATTGGAACCCGGGCCACTCTGGGGTTGAGATGAAGGGCCTGGGTGGCATGGATTATTCCCAGCACATGTACATGCTGCACCACCAGGGCAAGGTGGAGTCGGTCCAGGGGCCGTGGCAGCCCCTGTCATGGCTTTATTTTCATCCCTTGATCTACAGTGGGAATCCTCTGCCATCCATGGTTGGGGCCCCATCTTCTTGTCAAACACCATGTCACTCCTACCAGGAGCATCAAAAGCTAATTGCTGTTTGGTTTTCATTTTCCATCTGGGAACTGGCCTACGTTTGATGGCCATGTTCATGGCATCTGGCTTAGGATGGGCCTCAATTTGGTCCACGTGGCTTTCGGAGTTTGTTTTACATTTGGTTGCCATACTATATTTGCTTTCTTCGGAGTATCTGGGGTTCACCTTGTTTCTCCCCAGAGACGTTCTACCCATGGTGTATGCATAGTCAGTACCGTCACCATATTCTTTAGGGCTTCTGTACCTCTGTTGGAAACTTTCATGATCTTTCTCCTCAGACCGATAATGAGGAGGCATTTTACTTTTATATACCATGGGAGCAGGTGCATAGCCGCTAGGAGCATTGATTGATTCTTTAGAACTTTGAAGGGAAGGCATTTCGTATTGATCTGTTTCGGGGCCATGGGTTGTCATCCTGGCATGTTGCATATCTGTTGGGTATGCAGTCATTGTGTGTTGAGACATACCATGGTGGTGGTCAGGCATTTCTGATGGGTCAGGGTATCCAAAGTAAGGAGGCATGCTGTAGCCTCCATATGGCTGCAAGCCAACATTGGGATGATGGCCTCCAGAAATGTGGGCCATAGGCCTGCCACCCCAATCATGCCAAACACTGGGGTGAAAGTATCGGTGATGGTGAAATCGGGGATCAGTGTTATCATAGCGCATTGGAAGACCACGAGGTCCAGCCAAGTAAACAGAGGATGCCCCACTTGGTCCAGCAGCAACTACAGCCACACCTCTGCCACTACTCTCACTGGTGCTACCAGTGATTTTGTTGTTCTCATCCTCTTTCTTTTTCCTCGGGACGGTGAGCCTCATAAGGCCCACCAGGAGGATCACGATCAAGAACGACAACGCCGCCGTGGATGAAACTGCGAGTGGGAAATATTGGTTTTGGCACAGGACTGTGCAGAATTCCTTTGATTTGTCTTGTGTTGGGGCCACCCAATTGCAGACTACGTCCTGCTTCAAGGAATCCCAGGGCCCGCTGGAGAAGAAGATGGCCACAATGCGAAGACCTGTGAGGAAGTACCATGGTGCGACACCCTTGCACTCGAGTACTCCAGAGAGGGACGATAGCAGTGGCCGAAAGAACTGGATAAGACCGGTGAGGATAACGGACATCTGTTGGGGACAGGGAAAACACAAACAGGAGAATTATTCTTAATTTTGGAATTGACCCAGCAAGTTACTTAGATTGGCAGAAGTTGAGCTTAACAAAGACTTTTGCTGTCTAACGAACCATCTCACCCAAAGTCAACTCCTTAAACCTAGTCAGTGATGAAAAGAGGCCAGACATATAAAACAGAAAATAAAAGGTAAAGTCTTCCCCAACTCAGCATCCTCCACATGGACTGGGATCATAATTCTAAGACTGGCATGGTGGCTGAAAATTTTAGCTATTGTACTTACAGTGGTGGGATTCAATTTTTTTTACTACCGGTTAGGTGGGTGTGGCTTGGTGGGCGTGGCTATGTGGTCATGTGACTAGATGGGCATGGGCATGTTGTCATGTGACTGGGTGGGCGTGGCCAATTTAGCAATCCATTTTGCCAATTTAGCAGTCCATTAAACAATACTCAGCAGCCCCCTTTTCTATTCTTTTTAATACTGCATGGAGTTTTTGCTCTAGATTTTTTTTTTTACTAGTGGGGAGAGGTTGGTAATGCCTGGGAATTTCTGGGAATTTCTCTTCTGTGTTAGAGGCACCAAAATAACCAAGATGATATAAGGTCTCCTGATGGAGCTGGGGGTTGGACTAGATGACCTCCAAGGTACTTTCAAGCCCTGGATTGCTGTGCTGTTTCAAAGCATCCTCTGAAGCTGCATGTGATGACCCGGAGTGTATCAAAAATATAACAAAAACCAAAACGTAAATAAAGGTCCTTTAATGCCTTCAACTTGGCTTCACTGTTTAATTGTTCACAGTTGAAGATTAAACTATTTTCAAAATAACATTCCAAACAAAAGAAATACAGTTCAAATTCAAAGAGCAGATAACGAAGCAAAAACTAAAAACAAACTGCACTGAAGAAAGTTCCACAACAAACCAGGATAAATAATTACAAACTTCAGGAAGATAACTAGGTACAGTCCATTAGAAGAACGCCAACCAAGATAAACCTCATCCAGGAATAAAACATTAATTTGTCTCCAGCGTTTGTTAGCATGCAGGTCCATACTCTTATACAAATCTCCCACCTGCAACCCATGAACAGGATCAAGGCCTTCTCCTCCTGAATAGACCAGTTTTTCCCTGATCCTCTCCTCCCTGTGTGCCCTAGGATGGGTAGGGGATGGGTCTGGGCCCTCCTCTTACTGCTCAGCCGGCCTCTGCCCTTCCCCAGCCTCCTCCACCACCTCTGGGGCCACACTTCCACTCCCTGTTGGCTGTTCCTCCTCTCCCTCAGAGTCAGTCTCCACCCGGGGGCATGACACTGCAGTCTAGTGCCAGGGTTTGTGATCCTTTCTTCCTCTCCTTTTTCTCTCCCTCCCTCCCTCTGTCCCTCTGTCCATCCGTTCATCTATATCTCATTCGCTTTACCTTCTCTTCCCTCTTTCTCCCTTCCCTCCCTCTCCCCCCTCTCTTTTTCTTTCTTTCTTTCTTTCTTTCTTTCTTTCTTTCTTTCTTTCTTTCTTTCTTTCTTTCTTTCTTTCTTTCTTAAT